GGGGGGGGAGCAGGGGATCAAGGCAGTTACTTACTCTATGGCTCGATTAAGAAAGTTATTGAGCTGCCAAATGCTGCGGGTAGAAAGAAACAACAGGCCAGCCTCGCTTACAGCCTAGTGGAGAAGGGAAACCTAGAGGCAGAACGGAGTAAAACGAACTATTGTGAAGTGCGAGTCTCCATCCCCTTGGCCTTGGGTACTCACCATTGCTGTGCACCCGCACCTGCAACTCAGCCTGCGGGCTTGCGGGGGGCGCAGGCGGGCGGCTGACACCCCCTGCAGCTAGTGGCTGGGGGACTGGTGGATAAATAACCGGCTTTCTGAACTGCACGTGGGGGAGCACTCCCTGCGCTGGAAGCCTCGCCCCTCAATGTGGGGCGGTGGACGGCAGCACCTGCAACCCCGGGGCTCGCTGCAGGCACAGAACTTAAGGCCTTGCCCCACACCTGCTGAACCAGAATCTGCATTTTAACCGAATCGCCAGGCGCCCCCTCCGCCCGCCCCAGGCTGAGAAGCGGTGGTCAAAGCCAGGCTCGCAGGCAGGCCGGGAGCTGCGGCATCACCGGGAACTCCTTAGAAGTGCAAACACAGGCGCCCCACCCCAGCCTTCTCCGTCCACACTCGGGGGTGGGGCCCAGAAAGCTGTGTTTTAACAGGCCCTGCAGGTGATTCAGGCACAGGGTTGAAGTTGGAGAACCACTGGCCTAGTTGTTTAAAAATTGTTGTAAAGTTAGCTTTTTTCCCCTTGAATTAGAGAGAAGATCCACTTTTTCTGATGAATTTCAGGGGGAAATGCCTGACTTTGTCTTTGTTTCCTTCTTTTTTGAAAGTTAATGATCCAACGCCCTTTGACATTCAAGCTGAGAGAACACTGAAGACAAACTTTTTTGCCACAAGAAACGTCTGCAACGAATTACTGCCGATAATAAAACCTCATGGTGAGTCCAGCGTGTGGCTTGTCAAGTAGTTGCATCCCTCAGCAAGGAGTGAGCCACGGGGCTATGCTTCCCAAAGGAATCCCCCCTGGGGTGCTGTCTCTGTAGGGGAAAATAATAGAAAACAGCATCATTTTCTGACAGTGCTGTGTCTGGCTCCTCACCCAAACATTTTAGCTTTAGCTTTTTTTTTTTTTTTTTTTTTAACCCTCACCAGAGGATAATTTTTCCATTGCTTTTCAGAGAGTGGGAGAAAAAGAAAGAGAGAGAGAGAGAAACATTAATGTGACAGAGACACACTGATTGGTTGTCTCCCTCACACACCCCGACCAGGGCCGGGGATGGAGCCTGCAACCCAGGTATGTGCCCTTGGCAGGAATTGAACCCAGGAGCCTTCAGTCCGAGGGCCGACACTCTAACCACTGAGCAAAACCAGCTAGGGCTTATTCTTAGCTTTAGCTTTAAAAGGTATGTATGACACATGGCAATGCTCCCATGTCATGAACTCAACCCTAGGACAATAAGGTGTTGCAAGTCTCAAAAGTCCTCTTGCCTTTTTGCAACCTCAGTGAGCCCTCCTCCAACCCCCCAAGGTGATGGGGCCACACCCAGCTCATCTGGGGGCCTTGGGGGGAGTATCTGTCCTAGCATTATATGACTTGACCTATATTCCTTTCTTCTTGTGCCAAACTTTGTCTAGCTGATTCAGAACACCCACAAGAAAATGTCCTTTATTAGGAAATATCTTGTCCACTCTCCAAAGTATTCAATAAATAACTTTAACTACTTTTTCCACCGGTATTTGTTGAGTGCCTACCATAACCCAGTCGTTACTCTGGGCGCTGGGTATACAAATGGGCCAGGACAGTCGTGCCCTTGGAGCACAGAGTCTAGTGGGAGAGACTGTCACTAACAAAGAATCATAAGTTTCAATTACAACTGTGCTGAGTGCGGGGGATGGGGAGAAGGCTTGCTTCCCTGAGGATTTTGTTTCCCCAGAGTCAACTGTGATTCTAAGAAAAAACAATTCTGTGGCTTTTATTAGAAATGTGTTTGTTTAAATTTACTGTTCTGAATAAAGATGATCTCCAGTGCAAAATTCTTAAAATCTAAAGAGTTGCCCGGTGAGAGTTGTATTCCTGCCCTCCCCTACCCCAACTTGTCCAACTCTTGTCTCCAGCCTCCACAGGTAATTCTCTTTATTGGTTTCTTAGTGGGGTGGGATCATGGAAAATCCACAGGCAGAGCTGCAGGAAGCCTTGGGTCCAGGTTCATGGAGTTGGTGAGTGCCCAGGGCCAAGGGGATGGAGTTTTAAATGCAAATATAAGCAAATCTAAATGCACATTTTTAACTTCCTTTTTTACACAAAAGGGGACATTAAGTATAAAGTTTGCCACCTTGTTTTCTTCATTTACTCTATCTGGGACTCTTTCCAGATCAGGACAAAGCTTTATCATTTTTTTACTGCTGCATAGGATTTCATTGTACGGGTGTCTCTTACCAAGTACCTGGAAGTCTTCTCCCTATGGATTTTAGAATCATGGCATTTGAAAGCTGCAAGGTACTAGAGAAACCTTGCATTCCTACACCTTCACCCTCAGAGAGGAAAATTGAGGCCCAGAGGAGTGAACACAGCCAGGTGGTAATAGAGCTGGAAATAGTATCCAGGTTTCCTGACTACACCCTTCAATCAAATCAAGATAATTAGTTCTAGTGAAGTAAGGATTATAGAGCCAAATGATGGCAAACCAAGCCACTCTGAAAGAGAAAAGAAGGCTTTAGGGAGGGTGGGGCTCAGGGATCAACACAGAACAGGTGAATCACCGTCTTTAATTCATTCTGTAGCAGTATTTCCCAGAGCAGAATCTCTGCTTTCTGTGACTTCAATAAACCTTATTTTTACCTGGAGGGCAAAATGCTGACTATTATTGCCTCTTGATTTGTAGGTAATTGCTTTCTCCTTGATTTAAAAGCCACTCTCTATTTAGATTTACAATACCACTTTAAAGAAAGTTATTTCATCTTGCTTATTTGTTCCAGATTGAGTAAATAGGTTAAGCAAGTGTCAAGCCACTAGGGGGAGCAGTTTGTCCACTCTTTTCTAAAAAGGGGTGGGTGGGATTTCTGGACCAGTAAGGCCACCTGGACCTCAGCAGAGAGGGTGGGGTGGTATGGGTGCAGCCCTTTTCAGGGCTGATTGGACCAATCTGGGTGTTGAGACTGTCACCTCTTGGCCTCTCCCAGAGGTGTGCCCTCAGATCTGCCCTGGCTGGTTTGGCTCAGTTGGTTGGAGCGTCATCCTGTGCACTGAAGGGTCACAGGTTCGATCACCATAGGGGTGCTTGCAGGAGGCAACCAATTCATGTTTCTCTCTCACACTGATGTTTCTCTCTCTCACTCCCTCTCTCTCTTGAAACAAACAAACAAACAAATGTATCCTCAGGTGAGGGTTTAAAGAGGACACTTCTCCCTCTTAGGAGGTTTATTTACTTCCATTGGAGGCATAGAGTAGCTCCAGTAATTTGTTTTTCTTTTCTATCTTCCTTTCTTATATATATTTATATATTAAACATGTTTTTATTTCAGGGAGAGGGAGATAGAGAAAAACATTGACCACATGCACCCCGACTGGGACTGAACCCAAAACCTGGGCATGTGCCCTAACAGGAAATCTAACCGGCAACCTTTCGGTGCTTGGGACGATGCTCCACCCAACTTAGCCACACAGGCCAGGGCTCTTTCTTTCTCTTTTAGATTTAATTCCCTGTAGCAGCCAAGTGATTGAGAACAAAACTGTTGGAGAACATAATGAAGAACACAACATCTCCAAGTACTCCTGGCCAAAACATTGAAGTGGACCTAATCTTGAGAAAATCAGGCCAATCCAAATTGGGGAAAATACAACAAAATAATGGCCTGGAGTCTTCAAAAAGGTCAACTTCTCTAGATTATAGTGGACTAAAGTGATATGGCAACTAAATGCAATTTATGATCTCACATTGGGTCCTGGATGAAGACAAAACTTATAAAGGAAGATTACTGAGACAATTGGGGACATTTGAGTTGGACTAGCCTTTAGATCAGCGATTTTCAACTTTTTTCATCTCATGGCACACATAAACTACTAAAATTCTGCAGCACACCAAAAAAACATTTTTTGCAGATCTGACAAAAAATAGGTATACTTTTTATTGATTCACATAAAAAATTGATAGTTACCTACCCTTTTTGCTCCAAAGTGACTTTTTAAAAAATCAGGTGCCTATACTTGTATATAAGGATTTCCGATACCAGGAATTAAGCAATCAGATGCAAACTTATTATGTGATGTGACCAATAAGATGAAACTCTATTATATGACCTATGTATTTATAGTTCAAGACAGGGTATTCATACCAGATGGCTGTGGTTGTGTTGGCTGCTATCATTTCAATTTATTTGACAATCTAAGGGAAAAGAGGTCAGTGCCCCTGACTAAATAGTCAGGTATTGCATGCTTTAAAAATTTTGGGGACAGACTGGTTGGAAATTGCTGTTTTAGACAATAGCATTATGCCATGATAAATGTCTTGAGTGTGGCAAAATGTTAACAATTGGTAAGCTTAGGTGAAGTGTATATAAGTGTTTATTGACCTGTTCTTTCAACTTCTCTATAGTTTTCAAATAAGATTTAAAATTGGAAAGGACATTATATTACCAGAGAGAGAGACAGAGGTAATGACGGAAGGAAAGAAAGAAAATACTAAAGAGTCTTAGATACCTGGGGATCAGTGGGTCCTCTTGTTCAGAGTGAGGGGACCTACATAGCAGGTTGTGTATCTGTGGTGAATGCCACTCAGAAAAGGAAATAAAATCCAGTTATCCTATTGGATGCAAAGGGTGTGGATTCAGAATGATATGGAAGAATCCCCCCCAAATTGGTGTTTTTCGATATTGGATGAAATGTGTAAATTCACACGTGTACTGGATTTTGGATTTCCACCAACACTTCAAATTGTTTTATAGTTTTGGCCTGCATATTTGTATTTATGAACAGAACTGTGTCTTTAGTAGCTGTGAATTATTGTTCATATGAATATTAACTCAATTATATTTAATTATTAACGATCAACGATCACTTAAAGTGTAAGGAAAATCAAAACCAGCATGGAGAATCAACGCACTCCATGTGTGAAAGTATCCATCATTAAGGAGGGACAAGGGTCATTCCCAAGGCCTGGCTTGACCTTAGGAAATTGTGCAAAGAAACAGAGAGCTTTAATCCTCAGGGTGAGGGCTGTCCCTAGGAAAGCAAGCTTAGAAGCACCTGGAGTGTGTGTGGGGAAGGAGGGGGTGCTTTATAAACTACCTGGTGATTCTACTCCAGATCTCACCTAATGGGGAATCACTGCTCTTTAGTCCTATTACTGATGGTAGGGTGTTCTTTCCGTTAAGCCAACAGGGGACCAAAAAAAAAAAAAGCTAAACCCACAGGTACCTTCTAGAGTCATGTGTTTTAATCAGCAATTAAATCTGCACCATGATTCAATCCTAGTTATCATTGGCATAGTCAACCAACGATCGTTTATGTGACATGCCTTCATATTTCCTATTATTCTGTTTCAGGCAGAGTGGTGAATATCAGTAGCCTCCAGGGTTCCAAAGCTCTTGAAAACTGCAGCCAAGATCTGCAGGAGGTGTTTCGCTCTGAGACACTCAGAGAGGAGGACCTGGTGGACCTCATGAAAAAGTTCGTGGAAGATGCAAAGAATGAAGTGCATGAGAAGGAAGGCTGGCCCAACTCGGCCTACGGGGTGTCTAAGTTGGGAGTCACGGTCTTATCAAGAATCCTTGCCCGGCGTTTGGATGAGAAGAGAAAGGCAGACAGGATTCTGCTAAATGCGTGCTGCCCTGGGTGGGTGAAGACAGACATGGCTGGGGATTATGGCTCCAGGACTGTGGAGGAGGGGGCTGAGACTCCTGTCTACCTGGCCCTCCTGCCTCCAGATGCCACCGAGCCTCATGGCCAGCTGGTCCGTGACAAAGTGGTCCAAAGCTGGTGAATGCTTTCTTTGGTGCTTAATGCTTAATAAATGTTTGTGGGATGAGTGAATGAATTGGTGTCGTACTCTGATGTGTTTCTGTCCTTCAGGAGTGTCATTTAGGATCTCCCAATGAGAAGGTGTCTAGTTCTAGAATTGAGCTGAGTGATTTTGTCACACCCAAACTTGAGCCTGAGAGGAAGAACCTGGTCCTGTGGCCGTCAAATGTTAGAGGGCAACAGAATCACCTGGAGGGCATGTTAAAACATTGCCCAGACCTGGGGCCCAAGGATGTGCATTTCTCACAAGTTCCCAGGGGCTGCTGGTGCTGAAATGGGACTTTGAGGACCACTGGTCATGCGTGAGGTCTCAGGACTATGGGGGTTTTTCCAGCTGCCCTCTGCTGTTTCTAGGCTGTCGACTCTGGAGGGATGATGACTTAGCCTGTTTCCTTAGCTCTGCACCCTTGCCTTGTATCCCATTGTTTTATTATATTTGAGTACATTTTAACTGATTCTTATACTTATGAAGTAGTATATGTACCTTGAAGGACTCGAGATGAATGTCTTTTTTGGGGGGGGGGGGGGGA